GAAATGCACTATCCAGTGTCTTTGGAGCTTAACCCAAACTATGGACTAAAATTCAGGACATCTCGGTCTCTGTTGCTTTATTTCTGCTCTGTTATATTGCATTGTGGTGCAACATTAAATCAGTGGAATACTTCTTTAAGAAGCATGGTACTGCAGAAACATACCAGCTAGCGTACATAACTTCAACTCTCCTCTCTTTAGGTCAGTGAATTTGAATATGGGCCTTCTTTGCTCTAAATGCCTATAAATGGTTGACCAAATTGCTGTTCTGTTTACATAACATGCATGCTGCTTCCCTTTTTCTGCCAGCTTTTATAGTTAAAATGATCCAGCTGAGTTAAGTGAAGCCTGCCACCACTGGAGCTTTTTGTGTCACTATGTTACTACCACAGCCAACACTGTGGCTCTGTGACAGGTACAGATTGCCATTTCAGCCTGCAGGCCAGCGAGCTATATACAACAGAGAAGTTACTGAAAGCACAAGTAGGGGCAATAAGCTTAAAGCAAAAGCCGAGGAATGAGTGTGTGCATTGTATATTATGGCATTTTTAAAGTATCTTTAAATCTGCAGTAGGCCATGAATTCACAAAGCCAGTGACTCATGTATTTCCTTTTTTTATGACGTCACCCTGCAGTAAAGTTTAATTAGTTCTCAGCATCTGTATGATTTGGAAAAGCAGGAAGCACTTTATTAGAGAACAAAGTTGCACTGGATACGGTGAGTCTAGATCATTTGTGCAGAAACACAAGTAAACTCAGTGGCTACACCCGCTATACTGTAGGTGACATGATAGCCAACTTCTTTAACAAAATGTTCTCCCCCTCTACTCCTTAGTGGGTCATGGGAGTGCATGCAGAGGCTTATGCAACAGTTGAATGAGCATGTTTCACCAGCGGTGGTGCTGGTGGCTGGATCTCCATGGTGCTGCAAGTCAGACCAGCTCGAATGACTGGACTGTGTGTGATTAGTAGTGGGGTGGGGGTGCCTTGCATTAGGTCACACAACTCCCCTAAAACACAGATTCCTGACAAAACGAGGGGCCCCTGGCGTACCCCTCTTTGCTAGTTTTGCAGTGCTGCAGAGTGTACGCAGGATTTGCAGTCATTGCTGATTTACATAAATTCTGCAGACTAATCTGTGTTGATGGTGTGTGTCACTGGTACAGTAAGTGTTTAAGAATCAGACCATGTCTCACAACCTCAGGGTAAAGCATTTCCCCAAACACCTAAAGGTCTTTAAGTAGTGTGTTCGCCCGTGAGAGGAGTAAAGCCTCTGAGGCAGTGTAGGTTGTTAGACTGAGACCCTATTTTAGCCCTGAGATTGTTTACTCAGCATTTCATCTCCCAGCCAGCCCCGCTCAGCCTGACAAGCTTTCTGTGTGTGGATGAGTCTATGAAGTGCTGCCTGTCACCACTCTAGAGTTTCTCAAACCAATACTTAATGAGGGTTTCACAAGCAAGATGTAAAGTATAAGAATGCACAGAATTTACATTTCACACGTAATTAAATCTACACCCCGTCTTATATTGCTGCCATTCTCTAAGCTCCAAGCCTCCAGTATACTGGGGATGAGCCTACCAGTGTTTTATTTAATCCAGAGATTTCTGGCTGTGTGGAAAGCCTCACTCAGTTAAAATTCATTGTCTTTTTTTCTCCTTTTGTTTGTGTGCTGATATAGTCATGGTAACGGTGGTGATTACAACCATTTCTGCAGCGTGATTTCCTCTTCTTTTGAAAAAAGAAAAAAAAAAATATCCTGATTCATCATGACTCAGGCTTTTCACACTGCTGCTCGTGTATGTGTGTCTGTGTGTGTGTGTGTCAGGGATTGGAGGAGTATGCGTGTGTCAGTGGCAGATATAATGTAGGCTTCGGCTATAAATACCAAATGTGTCACTATTGCGAGGACTATATAAACTAAGGAGGATGATTACACGAATCAGGAAGTGACCCTTGAGTCTGAAGGGTGACGGTATTGTGTAAAAAATGGTGTAAGTAGTTTCAGCCATTCTGACAAACATGTTATGTATGATGAGGTGGTGCCTTTGCAAAACTATTCAAGGAAAGTGTGGATACAAAACCACAAATAATTATTCTAGGAGGTGCGAACTGAAGTTGAAAAGAATTCAGCCTTGGTTAGACGAATAGATCAGATGTATTGGATTGGTAACTGAAATGGTAGAACAGAAATACAGTTTCTTTGCCAGTGTTATAAAATTGTAACAGTGCAAGTCTGTAAATCTGCCACATACCTACAATAAAAATCTGAATCAAAATTTGCACAAGCCCAAAACAGTTTTGCATGAATGGTAAAAGTAGTTTTAGCCTCATGTTACCTGAGGTTAACAGTATCAGATCTGTACTGAAGAGTTGACTCTCTAGACTCTGCAGACTTAATAAACAGATATTCTTTATATTCAGTTTGAAATCTTCCACCCAGGTGAACAAAGAGTAATTTGCACTTAAGCAACAAAGTGGCGTCAACTTTTGTAATGTCACAGACAATGTCATGCAATTGATTTTGGGACATGCAATGGTAGAGATCATCATAAATACATTTCTTTGTCAATTTCCTCTATTTTCCCGACAAGCTAGTTTTTTCCTTCTCTTTTTCGGTAAAGGAAATGTATCAGTTGTCCCCTTCCCACCTCTCAACAAAGTTAAACATTAAATATCCTCCTCCTCCGTAAATATCCAACAATCAGTTGTTCTCTGTTTTCAAGGATAAAACTTATTCTAACAAAATTGTAGCGCGTTATGTCAAGTATTTAGTGAATGAGTGAACATGCAAAGAATTCACCATCTTCTCCTTGGCGATATTACAGCCCCAAACTGTGAATTAAGATCCATTCTGATCAGAAACTTTGTATTTTGACATGGATCTTTGTGGGTATAGGAGTAGAACTGAAAAGTGTTTTGGCTTACCATATGGAGAGAACCTATTTCTGCCATTACACAGTCATATTCGGAAGCTTGTTTTATTTTTGTAATGTGAGCTACAGGTGTAATTTTTATGACCAACCTAGTTTAATTCTTTTACTTGATAAAATACCATCTAGAGTAGTTAGTGTATTTAACAAAGTACATTGCTCTTGCGGTGCTCGTTGTATCCTGTTAATTAATTCCATACAAGTGGATAACATTTTACAGCAGTCGCATTATTTTTTTAGTTTAAGAGTAGAGTGTTTGATCTATTGTAAAATTTAAAAAAAACAAACAGGTTATGTAGACTACACTGAAAATACAGCCCTCTAAGTACAACCTCAATGCAACAAAAGTGAGTACACCTGTGACCACTAGTTTACCTTTGACTACTGCAACAAATTAATTGCACATTTGATTTTTGATGAAGACTAATTGCATGATTAGAATTTATAAAGGAACCTGTGAACACCACAGATTTCTCCGTTTTGACCTGAGTTGTGTTTGATGCGACGTGGCTCTGCATTGTAAGGAACTGCCGGAACAAGTAAGAAACCAGATTGTGAGACTTCATAAAAATGGGAGAGGACACAAGAGCATCAGTAAGCTACTGGATATAAGCTGAAGCACAGCTGCAGCAGAAGAGCCATAAAAACCAGTAACAGAAGGTGCAGTGCCCACCCTTGAAGAATGACGCTACGCACAATTCGTTATTTACACAAGCTTGCATTGAAAAACAGATGGTTAAGTGCTTCGGACTTCTGCACAAGGATCATCTCTGGAAACTGTTGTGTAAGTGTCTGATCAGACGGACGGCATCAAAGAAGAAAACCATTCCTAATAAAACAGCACAAAACTGCAAGAATAAACTTTGCCAGAGAACATGAACAGAAGCTGATGGATGTTGGCAGCTATTTTTTTTTTTGGGTTGGATCAGACCAAAATAAATGTGTTTGGATCAAATGGGGTTCAGCATATTTGACATGGACCTGGCCAGGACCACCACAGTGACTGCACAGTGCCGACCGTGAAACATGGAGGTGGGAGTGTGCAGATGTGAGGCTGCATGAGAGCAAAAGGTGTGGAGGAGATGACATTTATAGATGGCACTATGAATGCCAGTTTTATACCCAAATCCTGAATGAAAAGATGATTCCCACTCCCAAGAAGCTTGTCAGGGGATGAAATTGATCTCTGCAAAAATCAGCACAAGAACAGCAGAACATCTCTCACAGATTTGTGCAAGACTGGTTTCATCCATGACCATCTGTCATCATAAATAAAGGCAGACAGACAGCACAAAATATAAAAAGATAAAAGAATGGAATCTCACTAATTAAGGGTGTACTGACTTTTGTTGCAGCTGGTTCTTTAATATTGATATTTTATTATAGTGGAATTAGTCAAACATTTCTGACTTATTTCTTTTTTTAAGTTGCCTTCATTTTTCTTGGGCTTTGGCTAAAAACAAATACCATTGTTAATACTCGAGCTAAAATCTCCCCTGCAGTTGTCCACTTCAAACTGTAATTCACCAGAAATGTACGCATGATAATTTTTCTGCCCATAACATCATCATAACATGTTGGACTGTAACATTTGGGGCTTCATCAGAAACATCTGCTATATCTGTGTCTATTTACTATGCCCCAAATTAACCTCTTAACCAATACATGTTTCTTCTGTCTGTCTTTTAGGACAAACGGTTCCTCAGTGTAACCAGACTTAGGACCTAAAAGGATTCATAAATGTAAGTACACAGATGAGCTGTGACCATTAACAGGAAATATCAGTTTGGGTTTTACCCTCCTGTTTAAGCAGGAAGATGTGGAGGTGTCATGTTCATTTTATTTTCAAAGACATATTCAAGTAATCTAAAGAAAATGCATCACATCCGTTCTGCTACACATCATATTACATTGTTGCCCGTTGTTGCCCCCCTGAATGTGCCAGTAACTTCTGAAGTGGTTGATCATTTATGTATAACCAAAGACTCATTAACCCCCCCCCCCCATTCTCTCTTTCTACAGATTTGTACACAGGTCCACATCCGCCTCCCCATGCAGAACTCCATGAAATGAATAAAGCACCACAGCCTATAACGGGACCCCCCTCCACCCCCCACCCTGCCCCCTCCCCTGGCCTGTCACAGGTAACGATCGCTGCTCCTTCACTATCTGTATTGCCTCTTACAGGGCGTGTTGCTCTATCCCGCTTTGTTTCTCACAGACAAAAAAAAAAAAAAAAAATGGCTGATGCAACGGCATTTTTGTGCACATAATGAAAAGCAGATCACACAACAATGCGCTTTCTGTGAAGAAGAGTGATCGCAGCAGGCGCAAGCCGACTTTCAACCATGTCTCAGAAAGTGCCACAACACAACCATAGTAATTGTCAGAGGTAGCGTTGCCAGCTGCCACTGTAGCGTGTAATATCTTCAAATTCTTGTGGTTGATACATCATGGCATACTTTAAAATAAGAGCTCAGAAAGTTTCCCTCCCTCCTGCTTAAGGTACCGTGCTTTGTCTGCTCTCCATTAACTTCAAAATGAGAAGATGCTGGTATTATGAAGAGCAATAAATAACCTGAACACAAATATTGGCCTCAGTATCTGTGCACTCGTTGACCACTTGTGTACTTCAGATTCAGACAACTCTATGTATCCCAAGACGGGCAATTCCTTTTCAGTTTATGTAGTCTATACACACAACTTAAAAACTCTCAGGCAAAGTAGTTATATGTCAGAGGAACAGATCAACATACTTGGGTTAATACAAGGAACAACAAGCAGCAATGAGTAAAATAAATAAGGCTAAAACAAGTAAAATAGATAATTACACATTATGTTACAGTTTCTATAGTAAATAAATATTATAAATACATAAATGACTGAATTATCATCCCACGCCCTCCCTGTTCCTCCTGCGTCCCTCTCTTCTGCTGTTGATATCACTTCCTGTCTCTTGCAGCCCTCATTCCCCCCTGGGCAGCCCACTTCTGTTGTGTTTGCCACCCCACCGCCTCCACAAATGAACCCAACACCACAGACCCGACAGGTAGGCCGGGCCACCGCTCACACACCCCGCAGCACACAGTAGTGGACCTCAGGAAAAAAAAAAAAAAAAAAGACAGTAGTTCTCAAGTTATTAAAAGTCAAAAGCCAAATCAAGTCACCACCTTCCATGCAAGTTACTAGTTAAATTCTGTGGTGCGTTGTAAATCTAAGTTTTGTTTGTCTTGTTTTTTTAAAAATTCCTGACCGTCGCTTTTCTCAGAAGAGTGACAGACAAACCAATCCGGATAAAAAAGCCGGGATAGAGAGTGTCAAGGTCTTTTCTTCATGCTGCAAATGTCCTTGTGTGCAAGTTTGGCATAATTACTGCTCACTGTCGCTATCTGAAATCCTCTCAGTGGAAAACGGAGCACACTCTCCCGAATCTGTGCGTGAATTTCTTAGACTGCCTGCGTGTCCGTTTGCCTGCTTCTCACCAGTTCTGCACCATTTTAACCGTCGGTGTCAGCCTGTCCACTGCACTCTGCCTCACACAAGTATAACAGCTTAGTGTGCTACGTGCTCACACCGGCTTTATAATACAGGATTCAAACTCCTTAATGCTGCTGAGTGACTGGAGGAAGTGCAACAGGCTCCAACTGCATTTGTTGTAATTTATTAAAGCTCGAACAATAAAATAATTGGTTCAAAACCTTTTTGTTCAGAGTTCCTTTTATAGTTATTTACTGTATTGATCAAACAAATGCCAGTTGGGGGCGAAACAAATCAAAACAAATCAAGATAAAGGCGCTACAGAGAGTGGGCAGACCCGACTGTATGACTGTCAGAAAGCAGCTTTCCCCCGGGTTTTCACACCGTGTGAGTGAGTTTTTATTTTGGCCTTTAACTGCTGTTACAAAGATGCAGAACTGGAAGGAAGCCGGTCAGTGCAGAGTGAAGCATGGACCTTGTGCTTTTGTCTTAACTTCTGCCCTGTCTGCCTCTCCTCCTCTAGTTTGCCCCAGGGCCCCGGCCTATACACCAACAGGTACTAACAGCACAACTGACTAACATGACAGGGGTAGGGGTGGTGGGGGGGGGTTTGATAGGTACCAAGGGTGTGCTTTGACAAAATCAAATACTACTATAATTTTCTTTAACCTAATAACCTTGATGTTGATAATGTGGATAAAGTTTTTCAGCTAACCACTGTTGCTTTTAGGAAATCTTTATATGTGAAATTATGGGAAACGTTAAAAGAATAACATGCGAGAGTCTTAGTGCAGCTCAATAGAAACATTTGAAAAGGAAAATTATTTATTTCTTTTAAATGTTCCACCAAAAAGTGTGATAATCTTAATGGCAGAGAGTGATAAACATTTAACAATATATCACACTATTTTCATGTAATATTTCACCTACTTTCTGAATGTTTTTACGTATTAAAATCATAGTTAAGTGAATTATAATAGAAAAGCAAGAAAACATCCAGGTGACTGACGCCCGTCTTCTAGTTGTAGAGTTTTAGCGTGTTGTTAGTGTGTTTAGTTATTCAGGAGTAACTAGACTTTAGTTTATTGGGATTCACTGTTCTGCCTATTCTCTGCATGCTGCTTGTTAATTCACTGCTTGGCTCAGAATGGATGTTTCCTGGGCTTTCTCTAACTGATTGTGGTGCTCTCTTTTTCTCAACCCTTCTCTTCCCACCCTCTTGTTGCCTCCATTTGATGTGTCTCTGTGTGTGATCTGTGTTTGCGCTGCTGAAGGGAAGCTTCAGGTCGCTACAGGTAACTGAAATTTCCTCTTTCTTCCAGTTTTTCCTCCCCCGCCCCCTCCTCCTTTTTTTTTTTTCCCCCCCTCGTCATCCTCCTGAGGAGTGCATATGTGTGTGACTAATATTTGGCAGTGTTGTGCTTTGTTGGCTTGGTGTCGTTTTGCTGGCTACGGCGGTTAGCTCCCAGGCCAGCAGCAGAATGTCAATGAGGAGGCTCTGAATGAACCAGCATTAGCTGCTTTATCTCCTCTGGCAGGCAGCGCCAATATGTTTCCAGTTGGAGTCTAGCCACAGATTCATGGACAAACTATGAGCCTTGGACAAGCTAGCTCCACTTTGTCCGAGAGATAAAATCATATGAGGGTATTGGGGCGGGGGGGGGTATTTTTTATGGCAGAGGTTTCAGGAAAGTAACTAATAATTCCCTCATTTGTCCGTCTCCTCTCACCTTATTTCCATCCCGTTCTTCTTCCCACATTTCCTTTCGTCTCCTTTGTCTTTCCCACAATCATCTACGTTTGTTCTGTGTCCTCTCAATCGCCTGTTTCCTGCTACTCTCTCTCACCCTCCACGCCTCTCTGTCGTCTCCTTCCTTCGTTTGCTCACCTGCCTGCTGTCCAGCCCTACTACACCAACAGGGCCAGCCTGCCCCCCGGCAGCGGGCCTCGTGGCGTCCCTCCCAGCAGTGCCCCTCGCCCCGTGACGCCCACCCATGTCTACCAGCCGGGCCCTGGCTCCCAAATGATGATGATCCCCGGGCAACAGTTGTCCTTCCCCAGCTCGCCACAGGGACCCGCCTACTTCATACCGGGACAGGTAGGCAGCTTGTGATACTGCTGGATTTTTCTTTACACACAAACCAGATGATATAAATGATTGAGCACCAATACACGCATCATTTTCTATTTGTATTTATGTTGGAACTACAAAAACCATTTCCAAATTGCTGAAGCGAGAGAAACAAATATTTTTTCTCATGCCTGTTCAAATAAATTCTGTATATATTGTATTCCACAAAATATGGCCCAAGCCCTTTACGATGAACAGAGGTTGTGCAGGTCTTTTTTTTACACTTTTTCAATACAGCTTTTTATCACTGTGACTAATGACTTTGTTTGCCTCTCCTCCCTATCCTTGTTCCTCTCTTCTTGTCTTATCTTCTATGTTCCCTTCTGTTTGTTTCCTTAGTACCGGTCAGCTACCTACGTGGCCACACCCCAGCAATACCCAGTCCCAGCAGGCACCCCAGGCTTCTACCCAGGCACCAGCCCCGCTGAATATGGTACTTATGGTAAGAGGCTCTACCTGGGGCCTCACCTGAGCCACTCACACACAGAGAGACACTTGACTTGAAGTTAATCAATTAGAGAGTCAAACAGTTATTAAACTGTAAATAACCATGTCCCCAATGTCAAATACTGAGCATAACACTCCTTAATGTAATGCAAGGAAAATGTATTTACAAAGGGCAGCCAGTGTGGCAAACACAGATACCCAAATGCAAAAAATCTACCAAGATAATCAACAGTGGTTACTGATAACTCACATATTACCTAAACCAAGGCAGGTGTTGATTTTCTGCAGGTTCCTCATTATGGTTTTGCCTCTCGCCTCTGTGGTCTTCTTGTTTTTCAGGTTGTTTCTTACATTCTCAGTTGATTTGGAAATTGGGTTTCATCCACCCACTTTCCTGTTTTGGCGAACACTTAAGCTTTTCCTTTTTGTTTTTGTACATCTTATCGTATCAGAAAAAAAACAGCTCTCCCCTTGATGTCGCTATTGATTAATGTTGTCTTTATCTCAAGTCAACCCCAAAAGCCTCGTCGGCGCTTCCAACACCATCTCGTGGCTTAGGACACTTCTGGTTAGTGTGAAATAAGACGTAATAGAATCTGCATCCAAACACTCAAACACAGAGCTGTTCTGCTTTAAAGAAGATGAGCTAGCAGAGTGTTTGGTTGTTTGTTTTTCTTTTTACATGGTTGGGTTTTAGTTCCTCAGAACCAAAGAGCGGGGACATCTTTCCTGGACTGTTAATTGTGCAGTGACATTCAGCAATTACACAGGGAGAAATGAGCAGAGACGGCTTTTCTCTCTCAGCCAACACAGAGACCCTATGACCACAATGAAATGCAGCTACAGGACACATTGTGCTCTTGGTGATGGGTGTGGCTGCGTTTCTGAAAAATTAATTTAAGCAGGTCAGCGTGAATAAGATCTGAATTCAGCATTTCGCATTAATGTTTCCGTGATACTCTAAACATTACACGGCTGTTATTAGTAATTAACACATTTGGCGATTTCAGCTTTGTGTGTGTTCATTCCCATCATATTCTCTTGTCTTAAAACTTGTATTACTGCACATCTCCTGAATACAATAGCAGCACAGACGTGTGTTTGCTGTTGATCCCATGGGCTGTCACACCCTCTAGAGGCGGCCGAGTGTCAGTGCGCCGCAAGAACTGATGATGCCCTGAAAACAAACTTGCTGACCCCCCACCAGCAGGCATCTGAACTATGTGTCGTCTTTGTTTAAACTGTAGCTCATCAGCAATAGAATGCACAGGCCTGAATACAGGACTGTAAAAACACAATTCTTCCTATTAGGCCCGTCCATGTCATGCTCTCCGCACTTCCACTATACTGCATGATGTGCGTGGTGCTTCAACAATACCTCTGCACACTCTGCATATGCGAAAAAGCATGTTTTCTAAAACTGCTGCTGAATATTTAACAATTCTATAATTATAGTTGATCGCCATATTCAAACCTCTGTCCTGTGTTTTCAGTGGGCAGTTGATTTCCACACAGGGGCATAACTGTCTTATATGCAACCTTCTTTGTGAGGAAACAATAATAATATGCTATCAAAAATCTGTGTAACAAGATGCTAAAATTGAGCCCAAGATCAGTTTATAAAGCTTTTCAGATGACCGATTCTCTTGTGTTAGTTGTTGCCAACAGTGATGATGTAGCAGTGTATTTTGATGTTAGATATCACCCTCTCTGCATTTAGAAGCGGCCCGAGAGTCTCTAATCAGATCTTTTAGCCTGAGCTGACCTCAAAAAGTTACTTTATTTAGCTTTAATGCAATTTCTTATAGTTGCAGAAGAACCTTGACCTGATTAGCTGTTTCATCCATTTCAGCTATCGCATGAAGTCAACATCTCTCATAGGTATCTTCACATTGGAATCTAATTAATGCTTTTCCCTCCGGCAATTAATTAACATTAGAAATGTCGAATGTGTAACTCCTGTTTTCTGAATATTATCTTGATCTTAAAAAGACGCTCAATGATGATTTAAAATGTGAGCACACTTGATTTAGAGGACGCAATGAATTTGATAAATTTCAGATAACGGACAAGAGGACCATGAACCCTTTCCTGTTGTTGTTCTCAAGGCAGTTGTCGCTCAGTTGTTGAGTTTGAAAAGCTTTGTTCTTGTTTGTCTAAACAACTGGAAATAAATACCTGCTCTAGACTTTACATAAAGGGTCTAACTGTCTAACCTAAACTTCTTTACCTCTTTACTCCTCGCTCTTATTAAATAGATGTAGTACTTACGCCAAAGTTTCCAGCTGCACAGAAGCTTTAGTGATGTCCCTCACTTGTAAGTCACTTTGGATAAAAGCATTTGTCAAATGAGTAAATGTAAAGTGGAACCGCTAAGTTGCAAATAGATCCTTAAAGTCAATTTATGATCTGAACACTGCTGTTCTGGGAGAAACCCTAAGCCCTGTATGTCTTTTTTTAATATATATTTTGACATAAATTGGAAAGAGCTACCACTGAAAGCCCATATCAGGTTTTGTTTCTGGTCTAAACTTGTCTGCTGAAACAAGAGTTGATCACCTCTGGAATATTTCCTGGCTTTTTCTTCTTATAACGGCACACCAGAGATCCAGACTGTCTCATATGTCTATTTAGATTTAGTGTCAACTGTCCCATATTTTACATTTTTCCTGTGTTTTATTTGAAGTGTTGATCCATAAGAAGATATATTTGCGGTTTTAAGAACCAAAAACCATCTCAGTGTAGTTTTACAACTCCTCTCTCAGGCTTCTCTCTGGAGTTTTAGCAACAATAGGTCGGTGAGCCAATCAGAAGAGAGGAGGCTCTGAGCCTCTCTGACTGTTTTCTGATTGAATAGAAATAGAGCAGATTTCAGGTAAAACAGGTAATCAGGTAATCCTGCAAGGTTTGATGGTGGGTCCGGGTGGGCGGGGCTTGGGGTGTGTTGTGACATCACAAAGTTCCAGAAGTCCTGACAGCTGGTTTTAAGGCTCAGTTTCTGAATACAGGCTGTGTGCATTTCTCTGTGGACTGAGGCTTTGATACTTTCACAGTATTAATATAGAACCTAGACCTGCTTTATAATAAAAGAAGACATGGACATCTACCTTTATACAATTTGGGACCTTTAATTTTCAGTGGCTTTCTGTTTGTTGTCCTCGTACGTTCTTCTCTTCACAGTAGCTGTTGGAGGTATGAGAAAGCTGTGTGGCTCTTAATGCTGTTTGTTTGTATGACTGTACAGGACATAATGTCCCATGTGTTTGCGTTGGAGGGCGTGTGTTACATTGGTCATTTCTGAGAGTCACGTGTCGTGACATCAGGAGTGGCATATGACCCTAAATAAGGGGTCATGTGACAATGAGACATGGCTCTCAAACTCTGATAGGCTTGACCACTGTTTGCTTTGTATGGAGGCACAGTGGTGCCGTCTCTTTGACCACCGAGTCCTTTAATAGCAGTCAGGTAAACACACAAACACATACGTAGTGCTGACGGAATATGGTGACTATTTTTAAGACTCCCTCCCACAAAGTTGAGTGATTTGCTCAACTCATCCCGCATACATACAGTCAGCCCACCCCCTTAGTAGTAGGCTTTACCAGCATGGATCAGATCACTTGTCTGGGCTGGAGAGACAGGGGAGTCTTCAGCCAAATCGGAGCCAGTCTGATTGACACAACTGAACACTTTAGTGTGCGTGCCAGTACACTCTGGAGGGGGAAAAGGGGAGGGAGGGAGGAAGGTAAAAAAAAAAAAAAAAAAAGAAAAGTGAAAGGCAGGGAGGAATCAGGAAGGTCAGAGGGAGGAGCAAAATGGAGACACGCTGGAAGAGGGAGGGCTGAGCATTAAAAGAAGTCATTCTGAGAGGGCACCTGTAGAGAGGACAGGAAGAAGTCAGAGAGGGGGGCTTGAAGAGAAACCCCCTCTCCCTTTTTCTCTCTGTACGCAGTTTTGCCTTCAGCAGGCATTTATCATGGGGAATCGTGGGTCTCAAGAGCAGAAGGACTCTGAGGGTAGGTGTCATCTAGACAGTGTGTCTCTTTGCAGCCCCCTTCTCCCATTACTCTCTCAATCTCCTGCACTTTGTGAATCATATTTCAAGCCTCTTATTTACAGTGTTGGGACGCCATCCAAGAAAAGTCTCATTCTGCCTTTTGGCTTTCTGATTTCCAGCATGCTCAACTTCTACCTCTCTCTGTCCTCCTCTCTCTTTGCCTGTCTTCCCTCCCTTTCTCTCTTGCGTGCTCTCTTCCCCCTAGCCGGTGTGGGTTTTTGACTATATTTAGGCTGTGCTGCTCCTGGTCAACAATGCAGACTCAGTAATGTGAGTTAGACTGAAATGCATGCAGAGGGGGAGAGAGGCAGAGCAGGAACTAGCTACTGCCAGACTGGGAGAAGAGAGAGGCCTCTTCAATCCAAGGATTTTATTACCCCCAGTCCTTTGAAACTGGGCTGCAACTGGTTCTGAACTATAACTGAGGCCAGTTACAAGGCCAGGTAATATCAGTGTCAATCTTGTTGGCATTATTGACTGGGTAGGCCAATAGAAGTTTTCTTTTTTTTTTCCTTGGTCTTGTTAGCAGCTGCTGTCGTGATTAATTTGTGAGCGTGATAAATATCTATATGCTTAAGACATAAGAGACACCAGTGCACAGCTGGGCCAGAGGGAGAGACTGCTGTGTCACGGTCCGAAGGCCTACCTGTGGTGCTTTCCAGGTGCCGTGTCTGCTGTGGTAAACTGCTGCATCCAGATACAAAACAAAGGGAGATTTTTAGACGCAAAAAGAAAACACAATTAGGAACAAAGACTTCATTTAGAGGCAATGATGTCTGTTTTGAGTGGACAAGTTGGTAGTTGCAGGTATGTTCAGATGTGTTTCTTCACCGCAGAAACAAGAAAAGGGCCTGGCAGAAATGAAGCAATTGAAGTTTGAGGTATTTTTAGAAATTGTTTAATTATAATCATCTGATACTTGATTTCAGTCACTTGTTACTAAGCCTGCATGTCAACATGGGCTGTAAAATTAAACAAGTGCAGAGCTTAAAAATGATTTGTCGATCATCAGAAATTCAATCAGCAACTATTTCGATAATATAATTAATTGTTTCATCAACAAAAATGCCAAGAACCCACCGTCTCCAGGGCCTGAAATATGAGGATTTTCTTTGTCATTTATGACACTAAACTGAATATCTTTAGGTTTTAGACTGATGGTTTCATAAAACTCACAGTATCATTTAGCTCTGAGGAGAAAATAGTCAGCAAATTAGTAGAAAGTGGACATGATCGTTTCACAAGAGGGCAAATTTGCTCAAGTGGAGCAAAAGATAAACAGCACTTTTGCTTGAACAGTCTGGATATATGATAACGATATACAGGTAAAGAACATGGTCTACACAAACCTTTTTGATCAGACATTTAATCACATTATTCAACAGTCTTCTTTATGAATTGATCACACTGTTCTTATTGGGTTTGATTCATCATTGTTTGTCCTTTTTAAGCCGCCAACCTCTTCTATTGATTTGTTTATTTATTCACTTGTTTGTTCTCTCATTAATCATAACTTCATTCCTTCAGATTTCCCTGTCCACTTTTGGAAAGTCGCTGTGACAGTTACCCTGAAATGCTGCTGTGATAGGAATTTTAAAAATTCACGTTTTCCGAGCTTTCTCCTCTCGGTCGACTCGACAGTGTTTACAGGAATTTTGTCTGGACTCTAAAGCCCAGTCTTAAAGAGTGTTTATTTTTGTAATCTAGGAATTGAAGTTTAATTGATGCGTGTTTATACGGTTTGTAAACTGTTCTTTACTAGAGCATTAGATAGATGCCTTAAATGTAAATGTAAGCCCAGTACAGCCTCAGCTGGCAGCGAAAAGACTTTAGTACTTAAAAAGGTGCAATTACCTCAGTGTAATGACATTATAACTTTGCAGTGGACATAAAACTGCAGCTGTTGTGCTGCAAATCCTCAAGAAATCAAACCGTCAACTTTTAGATGTAGCTTGTCTAACAAATCTCAAATTAGCCTAACGTGACTTCAGTGATGCGTAAACACAGCTTATTTGTTGTCGTATATGTTTGAGCCGAGTTATGGGTGAAGGATTAAGTTGGTATATGATGATTTACACTCTTCTTTCTCTCTTATCTGATCCACAGCAGGGGCCTACTACCCCGCCCAGCCTCAGTTCACCCCCTCGGTGCAGGCGGCACCCGTCATTATGAACCCTGCCCCTCAACAGCAGCAACCACCACCTCAGCCTCCCCAACACATGCACACCAAACGGGAACGCAAACAGGTACAGTCAGTGATCCACGACACCATGTCACACCCTGTAAACCAGAAAACCATTGCTTTGAGGACATATGTGGTTCAGGATTTCCATATTATCTACTTAAATTAACTATTGGTGAACCTAGAATAAGCTTGTTACATAAGATTAATAAAATTGTATATTCTTAACAGACTTAAAAGAGCAGTTCGCCTTAAATGGAAAATGTTATCAGCTCTATTGGGACAGCATCTGTTTATCGGAGTAGATCAGGCTTTTATGTTAATTCCATTTGAATACATCACATCTGTGTTTTCTACCCATGAGTTAATCCCAGCCACAAACAGCTACATATCTTTACAGACATCTGCATATACATCTTAGAGATATTACAGACTAAAAGCCAAATGTTATTTTCGGCTCTTAAATGATGGAAAAATGTTTCATCGCTGCCTGTTTTCTGTTTTCTACAACATGCTTGGTCATGTTACCGTGCGAGAGACTTAATACATCAGTGACACTCATCTTGAAGGGAAGCTAAAACTAATTAAAGTCAACGAGTAGCAAATATCATAGGTTCAGATTTATCCCAAATTGCATCGTCAAGCACCAAGCTGGTGTGTTATGTGACTGTATTTAGTGTCAGACATTTTTGACTTGCATTGTGGGTAATGTAGCACTATGTTTTGACAAGGAAGGTGATGTCTACTGTTTTTGGATGGAGCGTGACGGCAGGGGCCAGCCCTATAAACGCAAATGTCCGTGACTGACTGAGTGAGTGAGTGATGAAGTTACGAGTGTTGGAGTTTCCCCATTGGTTGTTGCTCTTTCAAAAACATTCTGGTGCAAACAAGCCGCGTTGGCAGCCGTAGCAACTTCTTTTACTAAATTAACCCACAAATTCAGCGACTTTTTGCATAAACCTTGGCGACTTTTCCGTAGAAGAGAGTTTTTCCCCGCAAGCACGAGGTCGGGCTTCCCCTCCACAGACACACCTCTCTTTGCCGGACTGCAGGGCAGCTGACGTGAATGAGCTTCTAGCTTTCTCTCTGAGTGATCATTTTACAAGTAAATATAGCTGAACAGGTCAGTGTTTGTCTTTTGATTTATGTGTTTGGTGATTTTGTCCGACGTTGTCATGGTTTTATAATCAGGATTTTGGAAACAGGAAAAACAAAACTAAATAAACAGCTTTATTGGAAATTCATCTGTATTAAAACACTATATGTGAGCGCAGAGAGGAGGAGCGAAGCAAACAGATAAAGGGCTGAAACCTGCTGACACTAGGCTGAATGCAAATACAACGCTGTCCAGCCATATACCAGGTTTTGACCTAGTCTTGTCTATCGTTAAATCCAGCACATTATAAGAGTGCAATGTTAAACCAGCGGAGTACTCTTTATGCAGTATGGAAGCAGAACTTATAAACGTTTGCTAGATACTGCTTGTATTCAAGTTACCAGTCAGTGTATATTATTAAGTCTCTGTTGGCAGAAAGGGAAAATTAATGTTTTTTTTATTCACCTTTTTTCAGCGTAAAAGTCTTGCAGTAATATTAAGAAGTAATACAGTTTTTCCTCAGTAACCCAGTGACTTGATGGGACTGAGATAATAAAACCTGGCCTGTTGTGTTGCAATCTCTCTGAAGAAGATTCTAGAGTCATTCTTCAGTCTGCACATAGAGTTCAGTTTACTGGTTGAAATAGATAGTGGTGAACTCGACCTTAACTTGGTGTTCTGTAAGACTAAGCTGCTGTGCGACATATTCCCCAGTTCTACAGTATGTCTAGTGTTTCCTTTGCTCTCTAAGATGGCCCTCGCCTGGTATGTGGTAGCTCTCTGTGAAGCGAAGCCCCAGTTTGTGCCTCTCATGTAATCATCGTTTTTTTTTTTTTTTTTTACATTTGAGACTTCTGGGCTGATGGTTTCATTCGAGTCACAAATATAAGCCGCTGGTTTTTCTCAAGAGAAGTTTCCTGATTCCTCAGTTAGAATGACAAATATTCTGCTTTCTGCAAAGCCGTTTTTCAACCTGTTTCACAAGATGAAACTGACTTTGTTGAGCCAAAGATTGCAGCCGTCTCCCTGTCGCCTTGTAGAGCACATTTTAGTTTTCTGATTTTCATATATAAAATAAAGGCATATAAGAGTCTTTGTAAAATCATGAGAGCCTCAAACCTTGCGCTGTGTGAACAGGTTTGCCTATGTCTGTATTTGCATAGATTTTCCTTGATTGCTCTCCTTATCATCTGTGCTAATGTGTCTTCAAACTGGTTTTGTCTAGTTTGCAGCTTTTACCATATTTTGTGTGGGTTTGTGGTTAATTTTTGGCCTGACTGACTCAGGTTTGTTTTACTTTATGGAGGCTGGAACTTAAATATTTGTTTGTCTTCATCTGATTAAATTTCCCGAAACGTTAAATAAATGACATTATCGGAAGTCTTTATTTCTATGTAGAACCCCTCATCTATTAAGTCTTGGTACAGTATGAATCCTTGAATCTATTCGCAGTATTACCTGGAAAAGGATCTTAGTGTTCAGTGCTGGGACTCTGTTCTCTTGCCTCAAGACTTGCATGATGCCTGGGTCCCTCCTGCCAGGGAACTTGGCTGGTTATCAGCGACTGTGGTCGCCTGGGGTGGACTTTGGCCCGTTCCCATGGGCCCCGACTGTGCTACAACACTGGCTCCAAGGTCCTGAGCACACTCGCTGTGTCTGTCGCACACATCCACACAAAATGTAAAACTCCCACAGTAAAGCCAAGATGACAGACAGAAGAACTGTACCGCAAATCTGCTTGCATAAGGGACATTTGTACTTTACTATGTAAAGGCATTTGTGTGTTTAAGTACACACCACGAGCTTTGCATACTTGGTTTTTGGGAGCGATTCACTTGGAGAGAGCAGGTAGATATTTAGTAGCAATTTACAGGACTGTGTGTGTAGAACTTCAAGGCTGCTTTGCTGTTCAAAGGTATGGAACCTCTATGTAGTTGCATATAAGTCAGATAGAGAAAGAAAGGACGTTTGTGTGTTTCAACTTTCTGTATTTTAAATTGAGTATTCAAGTATTTTCCAGCCAATGGCAGACGTATTTTTAGCTGCACCTTTTCTACCCAGTTTTCGCCCTTTTTGTACCTGGTGACATGCAGAAGCTGTAGCTTTGCAAATTGCCTTTTTTTTTTTCCTCCTACTTTTCTACTCTCTTGCTCTCTCTCTCACTGTGTGTCAAAGAGAAAACCCAGAGGGGAGGGGGGGGGGTGAAGGACATGTCAGCACATAGCTCAGCTCCACGTGGCCATCGGTCTCCTCCCCCTTCTGAGCCGGAAGGGCTAACCAACCAGCCTTCCTCTGCTGCTGTGGCACCCCCCTCCTCCTCCTCCTCCTCCTCCTCCTCCTCCTCCGCTGGTTTCCTTTGCTCTCAGAAGGGGTGAGCCTGAAAAAAAAAAATCTGAGGAGAAACCTGAGTGTTCAGGATGACAGAGCAGAGAAAGAGAATAAGGAAAAGGGGGAGTTTCTTGTGCTAGCTGCAGCTCATTTGATAACGGTAAATTTTTTTTTTTCCACTTGGAAACCCTCCCATTACCCCCTACCCTGCCCCTCCTTCACACTCCGGCCCCTTTAACTGTCTGTTAGTCTCTGTGGGCGGGGGTGCGCATTCCAATACCATAGCTTTACAAGGCCAGTCGCTTTATCCTTTTTTTTTTCCCCCCTCCCTGTTCTGTTCAGCGTATGAGAAAGGGAGGGAGTGAGTCAAGTTGCTAGCTAGCTTACTGACAGCCAGGCCCAGCTCCTGTCCCGTTCTGCTGGCGTGTAGCTCACCCTGGATGTGTGTGAGTTGAGCTGAGGTAAAACTACGCTGGCTGCATTCACCCGCCATCCTGCTTTGCAGGGGTTTAAAGTCCAGCCCCAAGCGCAACTGGGACAGCTACTCCAGCCCCAGGATGAGAGAGGCCTGCTAGGGTTGGTAATGCTCCGGGAGAGGAGTTGCTGACAGACTGATCCCAGGTAAAGGTCAGTAGCCACGAGCAAATATTGTTGTTCTTAAAGTCAAAAGTAGGCCGGAGAGCGTTGTGTTGTACAAGCTCACCGTTAACTTTGTGCACTTAAAATCCTGTGTCCAGTGACTGTGCGTCACTTTCTAGCTTTCTGGCTCATACCAGTTTCATGACAGCTCCGACTTCCAAAAGTAAGTATGTAGAGTGTGAGTGAGAGGAAAAAGAGTCCTGACCAGGAAACACGTGTTTGCAATGTATGGGCACTCCTTATGAGCGAGTGATCTGATTTTCACTCATTTTTTCTCTCTCTCTCTGCCTGACTGCTCTGTGTGTGTGTGTGCGTGTGAGTGTGTGTGTGTGTGTGTTTTCATGACAGCTCCGTGTGTGTGTGTGTGTGTACACAGGAAAAACTGCCTGATTGTGCTTTGCCTTCATGAGAGTCAGGCATTTTCACAACAGCTTGAACTAGCGGTGGAATTCGTTTGACCATTTGGCTCAAAAGTCGGTTTAACTCGATTCTCGCTCAGTCAGACGGCTTTGCTGGTGACTAAGAGGTTGAAGCATGCTCAGTTGTGCAGCAGAGGAATTTGCACGGCGGTTAGTGTTTGGATTTGGTGTACCTCAGTATTCAGAATGCGAGAAATGTAGCTTTCATTGAATGAGAGGCAGCGAGCGAGAGGGAGGACACAGAAAGGGCTGGGCGTTGCATCATGGGAAGGCGACTTATTTAACATGTTACTCCTCCTTTTTTTTTTTTCTTTTTTCACTCTTCCTCCACTTGAAGTAGAGAAACAGCCAGTTTTATTGCATTACCTAAGTGATTCTCCTACCTTTCTAGATGTATTACTTCTCCACGTTCCTTCCTGTCATTTCTCGTTTTACCTCCCTGACAGCTGATCTCCTCCCTCTCTCTCTCCACAGATCAGAATAAGAGACCCTAACCAAGGAGGTCGAGACATTACAGAGGAGATTATGTCAGGGGGCCGAAGTGGCTCTACCCCAACCCCACCACAGGTGAGCTACAAAACCGTGACACCCCAACCAAACACAGTTAACACAGCGTCTGTTGCAGCATTTAATTTAAGTTAAATTAGTTAAGTGACAACACAGAAATATCAGATCCGTGCAGCTGGAGACGGGATCAGTGGTTTACCAACACTTATTCATTCAAATTACGACACAGTGACGGTGTAGTTCACCAAGGTGTCTTCTATAGTTGTCAGCATCAAAACCGTCTCTTATACTTTCTTCAGTTTAAATGTCAGATTAGACCTTGATGGCACTTCTAAAACAAGAATTCATTCATGGGAAATACTACAGATTCCCAGCTCTCATACACATGTTACTACTACAAGACTCCCCCCCCCCCCCCCCTCTCGTCAAGTGGAAAAAGTTGTGTTGTCCTCACCACAAAGGTCATACCTCATGATTTGGTGTGTGTATGTCTCCCAACAGACAGCCATATCTGGATCAGAAAGTACAGCAGTGGCGCAGGCCAACGGTGAGAGCGTCACAGCTGCCGCTACACCAGCACTGGTCAGACCAGGTGAGTGCCACATGCACAGAACCTCAAACATATTCACACAAAGATATAAGTACGATCTCTTTTTCATATTGTTCATATTTTACTTCAGCTGCTAATTCTGCTTATGACACAGACACAATGTTTTATTTAGCCTTTTTGTTTTATTGGTATATCGTTCAGGGATCAGTTTTTTTTTTGTGCTGAACAATTACTGTAATATTTATACAGAATAAAACATGTTCTTACTTATTTCCATTTTCGAAACTGCTGTTATCTTTTATTTAGCCTTTTAAGGTTTGAAATCCTCAAAGCATGTAATCCTACTGCTTGGAAATGACACTTAAATGTTCCCAGCTAATCGCTTCCTCTTTAGATCGATTTACTGTTAAGAGCGAGTTTTTACTGACGAATGGACATTTAAGCTGAGAGAGACAGAGAGAGAGAGAGAGTGACGGGTTGACCCTGTTACTATGTTTGACCTCATGATTCATGGATGAGCTTATTCACAGTGACTGGTTAATAGAGGATTGAACCTAATTAAAATAAATGAGTCGACATTTTGTGAGCTTACTTGTTGTAACGGTTCGGCTGGATAATAGGGACCCGTGAGTTGAACCGTGACGGTATCAAGTATATTGTGGCTTCCATTGTGGCGAGTGTGCGGACGGACGTTTGGTTGATCGTGCTCTTCTGATCTGTAGGATGTGGCGATCTAGAGAACATATATATCTTTTTGTGTAGCATTTTGATTTTTAAAGGAGCTAGTCATGCCAGAAAAGAAAAGATAGTGTTGAGGAGCTGTTCTGAAAGAAGGCGGGGTGGAAAGTCGTCGTGATCGTTGTTTAAATGTGGAGATAAATAGTTGTTTAAAGAATGTAAAAACAGAGAGAGCTAGAGAGACGAGTTCAAACGCTTGCTTACCTTTTCACCTCCACAGTTTTCCGAGTTAGAGAAATCATCAAATGCAGCCACTCAATCTGACACTGGAAGGATATAAGGGGGGGGGGGTCTGAAGCCTTTAAAGCCTTTCTCCTGAGTCAGCCTGTTTGAAACTACAATACTCTTTTTTGTGAATGCGATCCATGTCCATGGTTCATGTAAAGGTAGAATATTAAAACCTGAATGGACTCATGAAGTGGATTGAGCAGTTAGTATATGCAACATTTTGTCGGCAGTCTTAATAACGTGTCTTGTCTGACTTTTGAACCTTCAGATGACAGAGGTAAACCCACGCCTCCTCCTCTGTCAAAGACCCCTGAACTTTCTAAGGGTGACCCCACCCCTGCAGAGGCTACATCCTCTGACACGAACACTAAGCCCCCTGCGCCCCCTCTACTATCAGAAGCAGAGCACGCCCCTCTCAACACTACTTCCACCCTTGCACCCAGCGCCCCTGTTGCAGATGTGATGGACGCTCCCCCGCCTCCAAGGGAACGCACTCCATCCCCTCAATCAGCGCCTGAGGTGCCGGCCTACCCTGCACCCCTCCCCGACCCCGCCCCCACCTCGACTGCACAAGACAAAACAGACAAGAAGGCTGCAGAAGAGCAGGAGGAGGAGGTGGAGAAAGAGGTGGAGACTAAAGCAGAAGAGGCAGCTGCCTCTCTGGACACACCTCTTGCCCCTCCCTCCACCACTAACGGTGTAGCAGCGGTCGAGCCTGAGCAGCTGTCGGTCATGTCGCCACCCAGTCACCTGGAGGCTCCTCCGGAGTCTCCCATTGCTCAGCCCGAGGAGCTCCGCCTTCCCAACGGCTTGCCGCTGCCTGCCCCTCAAGACCCCGAGGCCCCCGCTGTCAGCACATCCGAGCACGACGACAGCCCCATCGCTGAGCCCGATGTCAGCCAGCAGCCCGTCACACAGACCTCCACAGATATCAGTCAGGCGGCACCTGCACCGGTTGTCCAAGCCACACCTGCACCTGTTGACCAGGCCGCACCTGCACCCACACCCGCTGTCCAGGAGGTTCCTGCTGAGTCGGTCGTCCAGGCAGCAGCGGCGGCCCAGGCTGAGTTAGAAGACGCGGCTACTCCGGTCACCCTGGATGTCAAGGAAGATACCCCAGTGCCCCAGTCCACTGCCAAGGAGGAGACGCCATCTCCTGCAGAGACGGTTTCCATAGCCGACAGCGCCCCAGAAACAGTGCCCACTCCTCCCCCTCCTGCAGCAGAGGAGAGGGAGGACGTCCCTCCTCCCCAGACGGTTACCCCTGTAGAAACTACTATGCAAGGTCAGTCACTAACCTCTATTTGTGTATTTGATTTCTGTTTTCCTGAATCACATATGATAGTCCTGAATCTTCCAGAGATGCTTTTCGCTGATCTGAGTGTGACGGCGTTTGTCCTCCTTCCTGTAGCTGCTGTGTCTGTGCCAAAGAAAAAGAGGAAGATGAAGGATCTGAACAAAAAGGAGGCAGTGGGAGACCTCTTGGATGCCTTTAAAGAGGTGTGTGTGTGCAGTAATGCATTTATTCATTCATTTCCTTGTGCTGCCAGTTTTAATGAGTCCACAGCTCTTCCATAACCTGAATTAATCCTTCACTCAGAGTATAATCCAAATCAACCTCCAAATGTAGCCTCCCAGGGTTAATCTATTTGATTGTCCTAATCCCGCTTCCGTCTCGGACCCAGGAGCAGGTAGTGACCCCACCGGAGCCCGAGCCCGCCCCTGCCCCAGCGCCAGAGCCCCAGCCCCCTGCTGCCTCCTCTCCTGCCCCGGAGGAGGCGGACCTGACCTGGGAGGACAAGGAGGACAAGCTGGATGCTGAGAACATTCAGCCAGATGCTCCCAAGTCGACGGCCACTGACAAGAAGTACCAGTACAAAGAAGGTGGGTCTTTGAACCTTGATGCCTTTCAGTGGCTTACGCTGACAATTCAGTTTGAACAATGATCTTATCTCGGTTACGTTCGTGACTTATCTGTGTGTCAGTTGACTTAGTTTGTTTGCCCCACTGACAACACGGGAGGGGCATTTTACATTATTGCGCTTCTGCTGATATGAGGCTTCAGTGGAAAACGATAGTTATGTGATGGAAACTTAAAATTGCTCAGGTGAATGGTGAGTCATGACACTTTTCATGACACCAGCTTTTTCTTTTATATAACTGCCAAAAACACAAAATGGTACATCTGCATTTACAGTCAAAGTGTAAGTTATGAAATACTTTAATGTATCCACACTGTCTTGTTCTTTCTTTTATAAATTCATTCATTTGCTACTCTATCTGCCACCTTGTGGACACTTTGGGGGATGACGTTATCTACAGTTGACACTGACCTCAGATCATTTACTGTCCTCCACTCTGCTGCTTGGCTTTATATGGTCCTTGTTTCATTCTGAGTTTCTACTGAGGGAGGGGGGAAAAAAAAAAACACCGTGAAAGTTCGAGTTCCCAAAAATGTCTTCCATGAAAGAACATCCTGGTTATTTTCTGTTTGATGTTCTTGTTTCAGAACAATGGAAACCAATTAACCCAGAAGAGAAGAAGAAGTACGACAGGGAGTTCCTTCTGGGCTTCCAGTTCATCTCAGCCAGCATGAACAAGCCTGAGGGTCTGCCAGCCATCAGTGATGTCGTCCTAGACAAGGTGCAACCACTCACACTTTCCTTCACAAGTTTTGTCTCGTGCAAATAATTTAGTTTCATTTCATTTTCCTTGCTTGGTTTTTGAACATGATAGAAACATTGAGATGTGATTGACATAGAAAAACGTAACGGCAACATCACATCTTAGCAAATATTTGAAGTTGGTTCCACCTTGTTTCACATAAATTGATCCGTTTGTTTTCTCTGTCCAGGCGAATAAGACTCCTCTGCGACAGCTTGACCCCAGCCGTCTACCAGGAATGAACTGTGGTCCCGACTTCACGCCCTCCTTCGCCAACCTTGGCCGGCCTGGCATGGGAGGAGGAAGCAGAGGACCAGTAAGTCAACATTTTGTTAATGTGATCCAGGAGATCTGCACTTGAATATCACAGACTAGAAACTAAATGACATCTCCGTCTCTTCCTCCAGCCTCCAGGTATGGGAATGGGAGTCGGCGGTCCACGGCGTTCGCAGCAGATCCAGAGGAAAGAGCCGAGGAAAATCATCACCAGCATGTCACTCAATGACGACGTGCAGCTGAACAAGGCGGAAAAGGCTTGGAAGCCATCGGTGAAGAAATCCGTTCGCAGCCGTGGAGCTGAGGAGCCGCCGCCGCAGGAGATCGACGACTCTGAGCAGGGCAAGACCCAGGACCTGTTCAAACGGGTCCGCAGCATCCTCAACAAACTGACCCCTCAAAAGTTCCAACAGCTAATGAAACAGGTGACGGAACTGACCATTGACACTGAGGAGAGGTTGAAAGGAGTCATAGATCTCACCTTCGAAAAGGCCATCTCCGAGCCAGACTTTTCGGTGGCCTATGCCAACATGTGCCGCTGCCTTATGGGGGTAAGTAGTGCCCACTCGCCATATCCAAATATGTGTCGAATAAGCTTCAGTGTTTACTGTAGGACTTTGGTGGTTTACGTGTTTACTGCAGTTGTGCACAGAGAGCAAAGCTGTCTCGCTTTGATACGGCGTGTTAAATGATAAATTGGTAAATTTTGTTTCTCACATAAAAGGCATAAATCCTGCATGATGATGTTTTAAACCTCAGAGAACACATTTCTTTTGAGACTAAACTAAACGCACACAAGCCAAGCATTGTTTGGTTTTGTCAACATGGGGCTAGAATATAGAGTATTAGTCATTCTCTTTCAGTAAATCCCATGTGTGACAATAAAAACCAAAACCAATAGACAACATCATCACCTCCAAATAAAGACTGGATTGATCAGTCTGCTTCCTGTCATATCGCTGTGAGGCTGATGGGTAATCAGCACTGGAGCGCTGCATCTTATCACCCCCGGGACCCGTTACCACAGGCTAATAAAAGCTATGTAATTGATAAGGAAACTGATTGATTGCCCCGCTGCGTATAGACCTATTACGGATATGCTGCCAGGAAACGACAGCGACAAGTTGCTGAAAAGGAAAAGCGGTCATTAGATGGCAACTGAAAATCTTCAAAATGAAGCCTGTGAATGTTTTTAACGCAGCTAGATGTTGACCAGAAACATTTGAAATGGGGGGAAATGGCTCGAGGAAGGAACATAAAGTGGAAGTGTTTCTGTGATTCACAAATATTTAGGAAGAAATAACTCCTGGGCAATGACTTGACGGGACGAAATGTAGGAAAAACATGATTCCCGTGGCTGGTGTTGTTTTTTTTTTTTTTTGCCTCCACACTGTGGGCAGCAAACAGAACTGTTCTCTCGCAGCGGTGTTTATCATGGCAGTCCCAGTTTACACATACCTCTGCCGGGCTCCAGTGACGACCTGAAATAAGTGCCACGTGTCTGGGCCACTGATCCAAGTGATGGGATTGAGGAACTGCACTACATTAACCCCCGTCTTTTCCTTTTATTTAATGCTAATCTCCATTTTCTTTTCCTTTGCAGCTTAAAGTCCAAACCACAGATAAGCCGGGAGTCACTGTGAATTTCCGCAAGCTGCTGCTCAATCGATGCCAGAAGGAGTTTGAAAAGGACAAAGATGACGACGAAAACTTCGAGAAGAAGCAGAAGGAGCTGGATGCTGCACCAGGGGTATAGTAATGCCTTATGAAACGTGGGTTGGGTTTCTCAGTTAGGCACAAAGGAAGTCGTGTCGATAGTTAAACTTGGGTTTGTGATGGGGGAGTATTCAAAAGCAACTACAAATCTTGCTACAACATCAGATTTATATTCCAAACTGTGAAGTTTTGTGTTAAATATCTGAAAAGTTTCAGAGGTGTAAAGCTAACCCTCCCTCCTCTGCAATTCCTACATCTTTCCGTGTAGGAGGAGGAGAAGCAGCGGCTCGTTGAGGAACTAGAAGATGCTAAAGACAAGGCCAGGAGGCGCTCGCTGGGTAACATCAAGTTCATCGGTGAGCTGTTCAAGCTTAAGATGCTCACAGAGGTCATCATGCATGACTGCATTGTAAAGCTGCTCAAAAACCACGACGAGGAGTCCCTGGAGTGCCTGTGTAGACTGTTGTCCACCATCGGCAAGGACCTAGACTTTGAGAAGGCCAAGGTACGATACCCGCGCGGTTATAGAGTGCGATAAAGAGGAAAATACGCATATACGTAACACAGAAACTCAACACTTATAAAACTGTTGTGGTTGTCCTCAGCCTCGTATGGACCAGTACTTCAATCAGATGGAGAAAATAATAAAGGAGAGGAAGACCACCTCTAGGATCCGCTTCATGCTGCAGGATGTGCTGGACCTGCGACGGGTGAGTTCGCAGACGCAGCACAAACACAAACACACGATAGCGATCGGTACCGAAACCTTGTATTAAACTACATTTTATTAAAGACCGGAGTATCAATAAGCTCCGGCATCATCGGCTCTGCTCTCGGTACTTGAGAAATTTAAGAAAATAGATTTCCTGTTTGTTCTTGCGACATAAAAGTTCTGTCACGCTGTTAATCGAGTACATATGAGAAAATAAGCAATGTTTATTCTGTTCTTAATTCGATTTTTGTTTTTTTTTCTCTCTTACAAAATAACAAAAAGAAAAGATTAGAGTACCGTTAAAGCACCTGATCCATAAAAGTAGTAGTACCTTTAAAATGGACACCCATCTCTATAGACAACTAAAGGAAAGTGGGCAGATCCAAGCAGACCACGAGTCACACATTCAATATTAAAATGATCATTCACCAAAATGAATAACTAATTAACTCCATATGAACCAGTAGCAGCAAAATGTGACAGTGAACGCACCAGTTGAACACATTAAAACTGAGCGTTGGACCATATTATTTGGAAATATGACTAAATGTCACAGTGTGGAGGTTTGATCATTTCTCTTTTTTTTTTTTTTATTGCATTGGCAGTTGAGTACAGTATCTGTCATATCTTGTTGGGCTTGTTCATGTTTTTTTTTGTTTTTTTTGTCCAAGAATAAATGTTTGTTATAGTTCTTGTTTTTGTGAGTGCGACGGCTGAATTTGAAGACCCATCTTCTCCTTTCATTTATTACCTTTTCCTCTTGTTTTGGTCGTATCTTTGTGGGTGTGATGTAGTCTGAGACGGTGCATGTTGCTGCTCACAGCCCCCAGAGACGTCCACACTGGTCCTTTAGCCCTGGCCTGTGTGAGTCTCGTAAATGGGCTAAGAAAAGAATCGTCTTCCTCAGCTCTTTAATGCAGGGCAGCCCCCGAACACAAAGCTGCTCTGTGCCATAGGCTGAGACAACTTGTAGTTGCATGTTAATCAGCCGACATTTGGCTGCATTAACACCAGTTCATTTAATAGAACATGTAGTGCTGTCATTTGTTTGTGTCTCGTGGTCATTTCCAGTACATTTTTGTTTTACTTCCTCCGTCTTATTTCAGTTCTTTCTTGTAAAGCCAGTTGAGTCGAGTTGTGTCGAAGCTTTATTTCTCTGTAGGAATGCTGCAGTCCTGTCGTTAGGCTCCCGGTCCCACCCACACAGTGTTACAAAACCTCAAAACCTGCTGTCTTCAGGGTTTTTTTACAAGCCAAAATCAGCTGCTCCCAGTCAGCACATTGGCCCAATTTAACTGTGAAACACACTGTATCCTTTGTTATTTCCTTTTTAGGCACAAGCTGAAGAGAAACGTTAAGGATGTCAGTCTCTTGATCCCTTTGAATTGTTGTCTCTCTCGTGAACACCACAGTCATGATAGTTGGACAGTGTTGTCATTTTTAAAGAGACAAATGATCCAAGATGCTTTTGTCTCAGTCAGAATAAGAAATACTTACACTTACAGTTCTTTATTAATTATATGGACAAAAAAAATAACAGTAATATTTTAAGTTTTTAAACTTTTTATTTTATTTACATGTTTATTCCAACCCTCCATCTCTCTCCCCTCCCTCATCCCAGAACAACTGGGTGCCCCGGCGAGGCGACCAGGGTCCCAAGACCATCGACCAGATCCACAAAGATGCCGAGCTGGAGGAACACAGGGAGCAGATGAAGGTGCAGCAAGCGCTCATCTCCAAGAAGGAGTTGGGCGGAGGCCCAGGTGGCAGGATGGGCGGAGGAGGTCCCGGGGGACGTGGCGGCCCTCACACCCCAGGCCGCGGTGCTCCTCCCCAGGACGAGGGCTGGAACACCGTGCCCATCTCCAAGAACCGACCTATTGACACCTCTCGCCTTAGTAAAATCACTAAGGTAGGAGGAGAGGGACATTTTCACATGATGAATCACCTGAAATGGGAAATCTGTTAAAACATCTGTTAGATGCCATTGTTGTTATTTCCTGCAGGTAGCTTGTTTTTAACCACCAGTCTCCTCTTTCTAGACTCCTGTTCTTGACTTCAACAATCAGTTGCTTGCCCCTGGAGGTAAAGGCACATGGGGCAGCTGGGGAAAGGGCAGCAGCGGTGGCACCAGTGCCAAACCTGCAGATTCTGGTAGGTTTCCCCCAGACTGACGCGGTTACACATCATCTAGTCGGACACTTCAGAGCTGAAACTCAACATGTGCTCTGTGTGTGTTTTCATCCCGAAGGCTCGGAGTCAGGCAGCCGTCCAACCACCAGCACTCTGAACAGGTTCTCAGCCCTGCAGCAGCCTTCGTCCTCCTCGCTGGACTCAGACAGACGAGTTCCTCAGAGGTGAGCAACAGCGACACGCAACAGGAAGCCTTTCCACTTGACGGAGCAGAGATGCCATTAAAAATGTTCCCTGTGGTGTTTGTATTATAATGAGACTTTCCTCTCCCTCCGTCCTTCTGCAGAAACAGCTCCAGTCGAGAGCGCGGCGACCGCTTCGACCGCGGCGGCGACCGCTTCGACCGGCGGGACGACCGCAGGGACGACCGCGATCGCAACCGGCTGCAGGTCACCAAGCGCAGCTTCAGCCGGGAGAACGAGGAGCGGAGCCGCGAGAGAGAGCAGCGCGGGTCGGCTGATCCCGTCCGCCGCGTGGCGAGCATGACGGACGACAGAGACCGAGGCAGCAGAGAGAGAGCCAGGAGCAAAGAGAATGGTCGGTGGCGTGACGCGGCGGCACGATTTAAATGGGATTTTTAAAACTTGAAATTGAAAATCTTTCTGGGCAAGAACATTTCATACATTGTTATTATACTTATAAGAAATAATGTGTGTGTGTGTGTGTGTGTGAGCAGTGAAGCGGGAGACAACTGCCACCCCTCCACCTCCCCAGACCCCCACCAAGCCTGCCTTGACTGAGGAAGAGCTGGAGAAGAAGTCCACGGCCATCATCGAGGAGTACCTGCATATCAACGACATGAAGGTACGCGCTCGACACGCAGCTGTGACACTCTCTTACCTCGGCGCATTTCCTGTGGCTGCTTCACAATAAAAGTCAGCCTGTGGTTTGTCGGTTGAAGCGGCAGCAACAAACGGAGAAGCATCTATCAATAAAATACCATTACAACCATCTCATCGCTCACCGCTGTCTGCGTGTCCCTCTCTGTCCCAACAGGAGGCGCTGCAGTGCGTGCAGGAGATGAACAGCACTCAGCTGCTCTTCGTGTTCGTGCGAAACGGTCTGGAGTCGACGCTGGAGCGCAGCACCATCGCCAGGGAGCACATGGGCGTGCTGCTGCACCAGCTCCTGAAGACCGGCACCCTCCCCACACAGCAGTACTACAAAGGGTCAGTACGGAGCTCATAAGGACGAAGCCGAGGGCAGATTAATATTGGACCAAATTCTTCTGTGAGATACATAATTTCAGAGCTTGAAGTGTGAGCTGATAAAGTGTTTACAACAGGATTTAAAATGAAGAGAAGCCCACGGGGGAAAATGCTGGATTTAGCTTGTGAATTTCTCTTGAGACGTAACAAATGTAAAGCAGCTGCAGAAACTGAGAAATTTCCATACGTTTGTGTCGGTGTGGTGCCATTCTGTTTTTTCCTCCATCTGTTTTGTAACTTTTAACTTTATTTTTATTTATTTATTTATTTATATTCTTGAATCCTTGAATAAACTTTGCACCGTGTGTCTTCAGGCTTCAGGAAATCCTGGAGGTGGCTGAAGACATGGCAATAGACATCCCCCACATGTGGCTGTACCTGGCAGAGCTGATCACTCCCATGCTCCATGAGGGAGGAATCCCCATGGGAGAGCTTTTCAGGTCAGTGCCTGAAACCCCCTTCAGCCCCGGGTGTGTCAGGGAGAGAAATCCGTCAGAGGAGGCGGGAGTGAGTTTTGGGCTGTTTTCAATTTATTTGTTCATTTGTTTGGTCTCCAGGGAGATTTCAAAGCCTCTGATCCCTCTGGGGATAGCCGGAGTCCTGCTGGTCCACATCCTCACTTTACTCTGCAAAGGAATGGTGAGAAGTGTCACAACTTTATCTATATTATATCAAGACTTTCTTCTGACTGCTAAAGGCTTTAAACTCCCAGTAGCTAACGCTTAAAGCTGATCACTGTTTCTGAATTCAACCATTCTCGTTCGTAAGCACCAAAAGGAATCAGTTCATGTGGCAGTGATGAATGCTAGTCTTAATGTAATGAGTGAGTGTCCATCAGTCTATAACTGTGTGTGTGTGTGTGTGTGTGTGTCTCGCTCCATCAGAGCCATAAGAAGGCGGGCACAATGTGGAGAGAGGCAGGCCTCCAGTGGAAAGACTTCCTGCCTGAGGATGAAGACGTCAACAAGTTTGTGACAGAAAAGGTGAGAGGTCACCCGCTGGGTTTATCATCAACTGAAAGATGGGGCTCAAAAATTCAGAGTTAAGCAACAATAGATTGTAGTCTGACCTTTGAGTTGTGTTTTCTCGGTCACGTAAAAGTGGAATCTTGAGTTTTTATTCCGTGTGCTGAATGAGAGCTTGAGTGAGTCGAGGTGACGAGAGCCATATGTTGAACAGGTAATCACGATGCCTCTCTCTCTCTCTCTCTCTCTCTCTCTCTCTCTCTCTCTCTCTCTCTCTCTCTCTCTCTCTCTCTCTCTCTCTCTCTCTCTCTCTCTCTCTCTCTCTCTCTCTGTAGAATGTGGAGTTCACGCTCGGCGACGAGTCGGAGAAGAGCAAGAAGAAGGAGCTGAGCTCTGCAGAGCTGAGCAAACAGCTGGACAGACTGATCCAGGACAAGGCCGACAACCAGAGGATCTTTGACTGGATCGAGGTTCATATTCCTGCCTCTGTCTCATCCACTTCCTCAGCCTGTTGAAGCTTCATGCTCCACTATTATTTTGTTGTTATTATTATTATTATATTTCTTATTTAGATCACGTTTTTTTGCCGCCGATACCGATCATTTTTTTGTGTTTTGACGTCATACGTTACTCAAGTAATCCCTATTTTTGTTGAATATTTCTTCGTTTTCTCGATCAGATCACCTCCAGCTGTGTTAACAGATGTTTCTCTTGTGCGTAGGCGAACCTGGACGAGCAGCAGACGTCCTCCAACATGTTTGTCAGAGCTCTGATGACCTGCATCTGCCAGTCAGCAGTCATCTGTGAGTCCACCTGCTCTCTTCACATTCATCAGACAGTAGTTAGTCGTAGATATTGTCCAGTTTTAACATGTCGAGTCGGTCCCAACTCGCTGACTGTTCCCTCAAAGTCCTGCTAAGTGAAGTTTTCCTAACGTTTACCTGTGCAGGTGAGAACCCCTACAAGGTGGACGGGGAGCAGATCAAGCAGAGAGCCAAGCTGCTGCAGAAATACCTGAAGGATGAGCAGAAGGAGCTGCAGGCCCTCTACGCCCTGCAGGCCCTCATGGTGCAGATGGAGCAACCTGCCAGTGAGTGGCTCATTCAAGCTCATGTTATTTGTTATCACTTCCAGACGCCCCCCTAAATATCAGAAATAACAAATTCTGATAAAAACAAGACAAATGCTCAGATGTGAATTCTGAAAAATGGTTGTTGTGAAGCTTTTTGGTGTGAAACTTGTTTTGAATTTTCGTTTAAATTGTTATGAAATCTGTTTCCTGTCTCTCTCCTCCCTCCGTCAGATCTGCTGCGGATGTTCTTTGACACTCTTTACGACGAGGACGTGATCAAAGAGGAGGCCTTCTACAAGTGGGAGTCTAGCAAAGACCCCGCCGAGCAGCAGGGCAAGGGCGTGGCCCTCAAGTCCGTCACTGCCTTCTTTACCTGGCTCCGCGAGGCCGAGGACGAGTCCGACAACAGCTAGGCCCCACCACCACCACCACCACCACCACCCCCTCACCCCCAACCACCCCCAACCAAAAAAACACCCCCCCCACTCCCCCGCCCACCCCTGTTTACCCCCAGAGAACTGCTGGGAGAACTGGTGGGAGCTCAGAGAGGATCCTTGGGGAAAGTGAATGTTCTGTGGATGATTCAGACGAATCTGAATCAGCAAAATCCTTCTGCATAAACAGAAAAAAAGCAAGAAAAAAATTCTTCAACTGGGAGAGATTGTATTATGGATCGAACATTCGATCATGTTACTTTTTTTTCTTTTCGTTGTTTTTATGTTTTTTTTTTTTCTTCTTCTTTTTTTGTTACTTTTTTTTTTGAGGTTGTTTTTTTTTTTTCTTTTTCTTTTTGTTTGTTTTCTTTGCGCAACCGAATGTCTTTTTTGAAATACACGAGAATACAGGATTAAATAGAGAGAATAGTTATGACAGAGAGCGAATGCTGAGAAGTTACAAGCCGTGGGAGATGATGCTGTTTCCTTCAGTATTTTTTTTTTTTTATATTTTATTTTTATTTTTTTCTGAGGTTTATCGATTTTCAGATGGTTTTTCCTCGCCACGGCAACACTATTCAAGACACTTTGCTTAATGACAGATATAAAAAAAAAAAAAAAAAAAAAAAAAAAAATTAAACACTTAAAAAGGCTGTTCACATCTATATTTTTGATGAATTCATCCTTTATCATGTCGACATGACGCAGCAACATTGTCGTGTCACATGTACGGTGTTTGATCTACATGATGCGCTTATGTAGACGGCTAGCTTTCCGTTTCTTTTCTTTCTTTTTTTTCCAGTGTTGGATGATTGGAGTGTGTGTTTTATAATAAAATAGAAAACTACAAAGAGGAGTGGCGCGAGCCGTCTGACGGACGCTTCAGACGGGAGCTCAAGGAACGGTTGTTGATTTCACGTTGACTTTCACGAGGATGGCGTCACTGAGGAGAGGGGCGATGAACATTGATGACCATTTTGCTGCTGGGGGGCGACGATGCTTCCCCGACGCCCCTCAACTCGCTTGAATGGGTGGCGCTCTTAGTTGGGTGTCGTGGGCTGGGAGCTTATGGAGGGTGAAGAACGCCATGGGCCCACCCCCCACCCCGCATAAACCCCCCCCCTCCATGCCCTTCCTCCCTCCCCCTCCTATGTGTCTGTTTTACTTGTTTCCCGCGCTTTAAAAAGAAAACAAACAAACTGTGGACTGAGAAAGGGAGAGCGAGAGCGACCCTCCTACAAAGCCTGACGTTGGATTTTAAAAATGACAAAATATCGTTATTAAAACTTGAAAAAAAGTATAGAGACGAAAATCCACTTTAATGAAAAAGGACTTTAAAAAAAAAAGTAGAGTTTAACAGTACGAATCCTTAAGGCCTTTTCTGCTTCCATGAGTGAAAAACGCATTTCAGGAGAGTTCTGTAAATATATGATGGAGGATTGTTTTTCTTTTGTTTGTTTTTTTTTTTTTTTCAAAGAAAAAAATGTTAATGTAATTTCCCCCACCTCTGAAACAAAGTGGCAGTTTTTTCCCTGTATTTATATTTTTCTCTCCTCAGCTGGCAGAAGGTGCTTGTAATTATCCACCCCAAGTCATTGATTACAATTTATTTGAAAATTTGTAAATACTTTTTTGCTTTTTCTTTATTAAAAAGATATTTAATTAAAGAAAATTAATGCCTCTTTTCACATCCAAAACTGGAAGAGATAATAAAGATCATTGCAAATAAAAAAAAAAAAAAAAAAAAAAAAAAAAAAAGAAACCTCCCACACTTGTGCTTTTGTGACGGCAGCGCTGAGGACCGACCTCTGTGACACCCAACGCTCCTTTCCCCTCAAAATCCCTGGTTCTTATTCCTCACACACTCAAAAAGCTCTGTGAATCACACCGGTGTGGGTTTATTCATATTTTCCGCTGTGTATTTTTCACTGGGATCATGTGTTTTCACGATGCATGAGAGGGTTTGAAGGTGTCTACGGAATTAAAATTGCATTATATCTTTACTGACTGTTGAGCTGATGCAGGACTGAGCTCGTCGGAGCTGGAGCTGTAACAAGCAGTTGTTTTTGTTTCTTTTCCCCGGCTAACCTCTGACCTGATCCTGATTATTTATAAATAACACACTGCTATCACGTCATTTCACACACACACACACTCGTCTTTTAGCTGCTGGAAGTTGGAGTTAACAAGAGCTAGAAGCTTGAATAAAATGTTGACTGTGTTTATTAAGAAAACATGTTCATTTTCCTCCTGCAGATAGCATGAGACCAATTTGCATAATTTGTAATCAAAGTGAAGCCATTTCGAAGAGTGTAAAAAAGCCACTGCAACAAACCAGCTCAGAATTATTGCAAAATCAATGGAATCTGCGTTTCAACTATGTGTCTGTGCCCGAGTTTAAAGACTTGGTTACACAGTGAAAACGCCACGTCTCTCATTGTGTTTTGTGTTCATACATTTAATTAATCCACTCGCCCTGGATCTGATCTGAATTTGAGTTCCTCCTGAACTAGAGTTTAAAACTCATGGGAGCTGCTGTTGTGGATTGTAAACAGCCTGTCAAAGATGTTTTAGTGCTCATGAAGAAGAGGGCTGTGGTCACTGGGAGAATTGGTGTAACTGGTCGCTAGACTGTAGGAAAAACTGGGTGAAGCATCTGTGTTGTCATCCCCATGTTTTGATTGTTATCCACAGGCTGGGCTTCACACTGACGGATCACACAGAGCTGTGCTGGACTTCTCGGGGAACTCCAGAAAATAAGACTTTGGCCGCAGTTGAACCTTTTGGCATTTTCCTCAAGAAACGCAACAGTTCTGCAAAAGCTGTAAGTCACAGTTTCATTTTGATTCTCTGTCAGAGTTTCCATGTAGGATTTTACTGTGAATACTATGAGGTTCTATCACTGAGTGTTCTCCAAATACTGTGATGTTTTTTTAATAGTGAAGAACAGATTTTAAATATGTATTTTCCTCTTAAGCTTCTGCAGTATTTTCACTGTAACTTGAGGGTGAAGACACTGTGCAGGAGTTTCACGACTTGGCACAATGTCCTGATTTGTAAATACTGGATGAGGTTTACTGCACACTGTTCAGATTTGATTTATACAGGAAGTGTGGACGTGTGCAAACTTTAAAATAGATCCACCTCATCAAATATTTCTGCTTAGATCATTTAAACTTCCTTAGTTTTTCTAAACAGCACCACGGTTAAAAACCAAACCTCTACAGGTAGAAATGTAGATGTTAATTTTTTTTTTTTTTGTCCTGAAATCTTCTCTTTCAGATGTGAAACCTCCAGCTGTCACAAAACAGACTCGAGAGAAAGTGGATTCCCACGCGGTCGAGATGCTCCTTGTAGATTCAGGCTGTAAGATCAGTCACAGTAAGGTACTGTGTATGAACACTGAGGCCTTTTCACACAGCAAGAAAGTGTTTCTCAGACTTTTTCATGGCAAAAATCCTCATAGACTTTAGAGTATTAATAAATAATTTTTACTAAGACTATTCAATAGGATTTTAACCTTTATTTGTAGATATGACAGGTGTAGATTTACATGACTGTGGTGATGCAGTGAAGAAGAAGAAGTGCGTAGTGTGTGGCGTGCACTCCCACCACATCGGTCTGAATTACAGCTAGAAAAGGGAAAGGTGGTGAATACCCAGCATTCCCTCGGGATGCTCCAGTTTCCTCTCAGTCCAAAGACGTGCGGGTCAGGTTGCCTGGAGACGCTCCTGGAAACAAAACAGCGCTCCGAAACAGCAACACAGGAACCGGGTTGCCAGGTTCTTCGCCGCCTTTCATCAGAAAGACCGCACGTAATCCATATCTGTGAATAAGCCCACGCTGCACACCTGTGGTGCAGAGGCAGAGGGTTGCCAGTTCAAGTCTCCAGACTGTAACAGAAATATATCAGTGCTTCTGAGGGGGGGGGGCGGGGGGGGCTCTCAGCCGCCAACACCGGCCAGAAATAGAAAGTGTGGTTGTGCTGAACAGCGCTTGGACCAAAAGAGTGTGTGTGCTCAGCAAACTTTTGTTGTACAAATAATTTTTAAAAAAACCCAGCACCTCCCACATTTTCACTGAAGTAGTTTCTTTTTCTCTTCCTCTTAACAGATTCAACTTTTAACCAAACACCCAAACTCGATTTTATTTATTTATTTGGATCTATTTATTTATTTGAATCCCCATTAGCCGCTATCAAGGTAGCAACTAGCATCGAGTAAACATGACGAGGCAAAACAATGTAATTTAAAATCAAAGACAAAAAAGGAAACAAGAGAATAACAACAAATACAAACAACAGTAAAACAACAAATAACAATAATTACAACAGTGACAAGTTCCACACTTTATCTAAAGTAAAAGTAAAACATTTGATTCAACTCAGAAAACAATAGTTCCACTAAAAACAGCGGATATAGAGACTGAAGAATAAAATAAACCAACAAGTTCCTCATTAACGATCACATTCAGCAGCACTTCTCACAAATAAAAGGATCTGCAACAGAAATCTTTGTAATTCAACCTCTGTGTTACCTCAGGCCATCGCTTTACATTTATCAGCTTATCTCACTCGTTTACTGGACCTGCTCTCTCCCTGCCGACATGCTCAGCCCCCGGTGGGTGAGTGAGTGAGTGAGTGAGTGGGTGGGTGGGAGTCACCTTATCTTTTATCTTCACCCAGCTTTCTCTCAGCTGCAGTATCACAATCAGCTGGAACCCAGTGTCCACATGGCATTTTTCACACTGTTGCGTCACTGCTGAAACTCATCATGTAATCCCTCCAGAACATATTTGCACAGGTCGTTAACAGGTAAGAAGTCAGGTGCAGTGCAGCTACAGGTCTGACTTTGCATTCCTACCTCAACACACTTGATCTTTTACCATTTAAATGCTCAAACTCAAGTCAGTTATGAGCTGAAAGTGTATTTAAATGACATGAAAGTGTCTGAGCAGAAGGTTCGTCTGGAGTCGAGACTGTAATTTCTAGTTTGGT